GTTTCTCTGTGTAGCTCTGAACCTGTCCTGGAACTCACTCTATAACCCAAGCGGGACTCAAACTCACAGAGATCTGCCTGGCTCTGCCTCCCAAGTGCTGGGATTAAAGGCGTGCACCACCACTGCCTGGCTTTCTATCCATATCTTTTTTTTAGACTTTTTTTATTTATTACATATACAGTGTTCTGTCTGCATGTGTGCCTTTATGCCTGAAGAGGGCACCAGATCTCATTATAGATGATTGTGAACCACCCTGTGGGTGCTGAGAATTGAACTCAGGACCCCTGGAAGCACTCTGAAGCCAGTGCTCTTAACCTCTGAGCCACCTCTCCAGTCCCTTCTATCCAAACTTTAAACTAAACCTGTAGAATTAGAAACTATGGGGATGGAACCTGATAGTCGGTGTTTATGTAGTCCCCACCCTTGTGATATGTGACAGTAATTGTGAACCACTGGGACAGAATGTCCACATACACCAAAGTATGGGGGAGGAGCCACATAAACGTGGAGTCGGGAGCAGAGGGTGCTTGTGAGAAACTAGAGGGAGTAGGCCTTACTCTCCTGACTCTTGGAGGAGCCTTAGCATTTTTCCTGTGGTCTCCATGTGGCTAGCGTGACAGTTCCTGAGCGGAGCAAGCTCGGATGTCTGCCACATTTAGGAGGAACTCAGACCCTCTTTCTCCAAACCGTGAGCAGCAAAGCAGATGTATCCTAGTGTTAGTGTGCACGCCCGGTCAGAGCTTCCTCTTCCGGCTCATTGACCTCACCTCCTAACTTTGCTTTATAGATAGCAGTGGTCCCTCCAGCACCGTGTCCAGCGCTGGCCCTTCCTCTCCTACCGCAGCGGATGGAAACTCACACTTTGGCTTCAGTGATCAGTCCTCTGTAAATACACATATGACTGAAGAAAACCAAGGCCTTGGGTTGCTCCAGGGGCCTCCTGGAGATGGAACACAAGAGTTCCCCGTGGAAAGACAGCAAGAGCTTGTTGAGCCAAATCAGTCCCCTCAAGAGCCCCCTGTAGAAGTCAGCCCTCTAGGAGGTCAAGATGTTGCCGAGGTCAGCCAGACATGCCAGGAGGTCCCCGACACCACTCAGACATGCCATGACATCCTTGAGGAGGTCGGCCAGCCTAACCAGGAGGTCCCTGACATCAGCCAGCTGTTCCTGAAGAACCGTGACACTGCTGCCAACGCATGTCAGCCGTGCCAGAAAGTTCATGAGGAAGTTTGCCAATGTTTTCAAGACAACCCTGAGGAGAGTGACCAGCTGTGCCAAGAGGCCCATGGATCCCCTGTGGGGGTTGGTAGCATGGTCCAGGAAACCTTTATGGAAATTGGCAGGCCAACCCAAGAGATCCCTGAAGAGATCAGCCCACCACGCCAGGAGTTCTCTGTGGAGGTTGGCATGCTGGCTCAGGAGGTTCCTGCCATCATCGAGTTGTCTCAAGACATCCCCGAGACTGACAAACCATCCCCGGAGCTCACTGAGGAGACTGGTCTGCAGGCTCAGGAGGTCTCTGAGGAGACTGACGAGGACTCCAGGATGGTCCCTGAGGTGGTTGATGAGCTGCCTAGTGAGGAGATCCCCCAAGGCCAGGGTCTGTCTAGCGATGGAAACACGGAAAGCCAGTCCCTGGCCCATGCCCAGCACTCATCCCCCACCAGCGATGTGTAACTAGCCGCTCTCTCATTTGATGTCACTCTGTCAGCCATTTGAGCCAGGACCTTTCTGCTGGCTAACACTAGCCAGAGCAGGGCCTGGGCTCCCACCAGGGGTATCTGAGGAAGCAGGCCTGCTGGCATGAAACGTACTTCTGCCAGAGCTTATGCCTAAGCAAGAGCCGGTTTATGTTCAGAGCAGCTGCTAGCTCTTCACTTAGCCATGGGGTGGGAAATCGTAGATTGTTCTAGGAAATACCACTTAACTGTTGAAGATGCCGTTGAGGAGACAGCAGATATAAAATGCAAGGCAGCAGGCTCTCACTTGTTGAAGGAAATAGTCACAACCTCTTAAGGTACCCTCAGACCATATGTGCATTAAAGGAAGCCCTTGTCTTCACTGTCACAGGCAGACCCAGGATAGCCACCTGAAATGTCTGCAAAATAGAGTTCCCTTCTCACAAACATCTGTCATGGCCACTCACGGTTTAGGCTGGGCTTATGGGTATTTCCATATAATTGCCAAGTGCTCCCTCTGCCCTAGTCCTGTTCCTCTGGAGAGTGACTCTAGAGAAAAATAGATAATAGATTGCCATGCAACTTCAGAGTGACTACTTAGAATGCTCTGGGAGATTTGGATCAACCTATGAAGCTAGGCCTCCTTTGTCGAGAGGCTCTTGGGCTTAGAAGACGCTGTAGTAGAGAGAATCGAGTTCTATTTTAAGCAGTTAGCAGAGATCAATGTTGTACAGACATGAGCAAAGATTTAATATATATATATATTATATATATATATAAACATATATATTTCTGTAGTTTGCCAGGGACAGACTGGCCAAAGATCAAACACTCCAGGGTCCCCAAAAGGTTTATCCTTCTATCATGTGTCTTTAGAACCGTATGTGATTATGAAGCTTTTCCCAAAGATCACGGATGGGAGTGGGTGTGGGTAATGCAGTCATTGGAGTTGGGGGCCGGAACATCGCAAGTGCTCAATAAATAGTAAATATTGAGAACACTGGCATGGTGACGCCTTTGTGAACTCGATAATGAATATGTAAGCCAACTGTGTCTGTGACTGAATCAATCACAAACTATTGTAGTTGAGCAGGGATTGGCTTTAAAAATAGAGAAGTCTGGCATCTGAGTCCCTCTGACGGCAGTGGTCAGTCTACCATACCCAGTGTGTTTAATGAGCAGAGTGTTGGGCAGTGTGCTTGGAAAGAGACGTGAGCCCTGTGAAGCAGCAGAGGCTGCCCGCCTTCTCATTAGCTCCCGAGAAACACACCCTAATGTCTTACTCCAGTGCTTTGGAAGGAGGCTGACATGAAGAGGTGATGCCTGGTCTCTGCTCTGTTGACATCTTCACATTGGGAAAGCTCAGGACACTGGGAGGACTTGAACGTCCCTTTTCCATATATACATTTATGCCCTGACCACTCCTGACATACCTAAGACGACAGAGGGTTTTACTTGGAGGGGGGGTAGATCTAGCTTTCACCCGTTAGACAGCAAATGGAAAGGCTCAGAGTTTTCTGGGGAAATACACGGACTGCTTTTGACCCCATAGAATGCAGATCCCATTCTCTAAATCAAATGTATATGCCCACATTTTAAAACCACTTTCAGATTGTTTTGTGTGTTTTAAATTTTTATTTGTTTTTGTTGTATGTGTGTGGGTGTTTTGCTTATATGCATGCCTGGTGCCCACAGAAGCCAGAAAAGGATGTTGGAGTCACTGGAACTGGAGTTTTAGAGAATTGTAAGCTGCCATGTGGGTGCTGGCAATATGCTTCAGTCCTCGGGAAGAAGAACCAGTGTTCTTAACCACTGAGCCACCTCTCCAGGCCCTTGTTTTTTTGTTTTTGTTTTTGAGACAAGGGCTGACTCACTATGTAGCTCAGGCTACCCTCAAACTCCTGATTCTCCTACCACTACCCTGAATGTTAAGATCACTGGCATATTCCATCACACTCTGCTTCTTTGCAGAAATGATGCTGGTTCCCACATCTCTTCCTCCTTTTACCCATGCTGTGTCCTCTGGCTCCCCTGGGTCCTGAAATGGGTTTGAATAATCAAGAGTCTTCCGAGATAAATGAGAATGCTAACTGAAGCCGAGATGGAAACCAGGACAACTAAGTAATGTACGGAGTCTGGAGAAGCCTAAGCAGCACTACACCGTCTGCCATGAACTTGATTTATTGTTAGACTTGAAGGTGGCTCTGTTACAGCAGCTGGGGACTGTAGCAGGGAAGTGTGGGGAGGAGCAGAGCACAGCAGAGGGGGGAGGGAGCTAGGGAGAACATGGGGTGGGCTCCTTTTGATTTCCCATCGGCTGGGCGAAGAAAGCAGACCTCAGGGACTACCAGCATCTGGGTTTCTCAGTCCAGCAGGGTCTAGCAGGGCTGCTCACTGGCTTGCCTGGGGCGAGGTCCTGTCCTGTAGTAGAATGCTCAGCCTGTCTTGACTTCACTCTGGAGGAGTTAGTTCAGCTACAGCTCCTGCGCTTCCTCTCTTCTTTCCCCTCCTCCCCCATTTTCCCCAAGTTCTCTAGACCGGCCTCCACCTCCCAGAACCTCTGCCCAAGAGTGTGGGTTTAGAGAGGCAGCCAGCGTTCCCATTTCAGCTGCAGGATGGTCGAGGATTGGAATGTTGGGGGAGTCACAGATGGCAGTCAGGCAGTGGCTTATTTTTAACCCTTAACACACCAGGCCATAGCAGATGACCACATGCAGAGAAGCCAAGCAGGGGATGAGAAGGGATCAGGACTGTTGGAATGGGGTGGGCAAAGACTAGATGATCAGGGAGCTTGGGGGGATTGGGGTTGGGGCTCTCCTTGCCCTTTGTGCTGCCCAGGTGGCCTGGTCTGGGCACAGCCCTAGGTCGGAAATGGTATGAAGCTGGGGCTGGGAGATGAGATCCTTTTTCCTGTCCTTAGTTCTTGGTCTAAAGAGCTTCAAGTTTTGGATTGAGACATTCAGATATTGAGGGAAGCAGAGACAGTATAGCAGCCACCCAGGCCCCTGCTGGGACCCAGACCGTGGTGGCTAGGGCATGGGAGATGGAGGAAAGGGTGCAGCTCTGGGCACCTTACTAACAGTGGCCTTCCCTACATCATATAAATGATTGGCAATCCTTTCTGGCATGCCAAATAAATAACGAGGTTCGGGGACGGGGGTGTTACCTCCCTCCACGAGGATGGAGTGTGCTCACCGAAACCCATCCTCCTCATCCAAGACCAGTATTTGCCAGTGCCCGGAGAGGGTTTCAGGTGACCGTTCAGAATTTCATATCACCCCCCCATTACCTTTGGTTTTGAGACCCCAGGAACAGATGAGGGGAAGGACAGTACCTCCCACGTAGCCCAAGTCCTCACAACATGACCTTGCCCCCCTACCGAGCTCCATTTCCGTCAACCCCAAAGGACTCAGCAGTAGCCATTCTCTAACGAGCTAGAGGAGTGGATCCTGGGGGGAGGGAGGGCGGGTCTACTCAGAACTCAATCTTGCAGGCTGGAAAGGACTCGTCCTGCATCACCACGGTGCTGCTGCTAGCCAGGACCAGGACGTTCAGTTGCTGCTGTTGCTCATGCGTCTGCTGGTACCACTCACGAGTCACCTCTGTGTCATGAGTGGGGATCAGAGTCACCTAAGAGGAAGAAGAAAACATGCCCGAGGTGAGAATGTGAAGGAAGGAAATTGAAGGGGAAGGACTGCCGGATGGTCTCATAGATGAGCCTGCTGCCATGGGAAGGACCTTGTCCTTTGGTGAATAAGGCTGTCCTCCTGTCGCCTCTGACAGGGCTTTGACCAGAATCCTGCCTTTGTGTCTCTTGCTACTCACCTGAAGGTTCTCCCCCCACTGGGCCTTGCCTTCCAGCAGGGCATCCAGCACAGCCCGGCTTGGCTCGCCATTGGCAGGGTCGTTCCCACTGACCACATAGTAGGATGCACGCACTCGGCGGAAGAAGTCCAGATCAGCAGTCTTACCACTGCAGTGATTTGGAATATAGGCAAGATCCACGTACACAGGAGGGCCAGAGCCACCCTTGGAGCCCAAGGCTGCTGTAGAGACAAGCAGAATGCATTGTTTAAAAAAAAAAGAGCCCAGTGGTGCTGATGCACACCTTTAGTCCCAGCACTCGGAGGCAGAGGCAGGCAGGCGGATCTCAGTGTGTCTCAGTATGTCCAAGGCCAGCCTGGTCTACAAAGTGAGTTCCAGGACAGCCAGGACTACACAGAGAAACCCTGTCTCGAAAAAACAAAGAATATTTGGTCACCTCCCCACTTTCTTGAACAGCTAGAGCCTTTAGCTAGCCCATACCTGCTCCAACCCACCGTATTCCCATTCCCACTTTCCTGAAATACTCACTGGATCCTGCCTTGAGTCCATTGACTAAGCCTTTGGACATGGGACTATGTCCATCCTTTTCTTCCGCTGTGACCTGGCTTGAAGTGCTGCGTGGTCGGGGCAGGGCCCGAGATGTTCGGTCTACAGGCCCTTTACCAGGGGTAGGTGACCGTTTTCCCCGAATATCCAGACGCCGTGCAGGAGATGCGGGCTTGGCCCGGCTGGGGGCCCTCCGCCCCAATCGCCCCTGCACCTTCTCCTTTTCACGTAGTCTCTCAACTCTCCCGGACTCTGAGCTGAGCCCCTCGGGGTCAGCCATGCAAACATCTGGTCGGGGAGGGGAGGGGCGGGGGTCTGGCTGGGGAACTGGCGGTGGGTCGTGGCCAGGCCTGGGGTGGTGAGTTCCACTAACTCCCCCAGCTTTGTCCACAGGCAAGAAGTCCCCATCTTCATCCGAGTCGAGGGCTGCCTCAGCTGTGATGGACGGACACTCCTCAGTTTCTGGTGGGACATCAGAATCTGACTGTGAGGAGCCCGAGTCACTGGCTGATGTGGGGGGTGTCTCATCAGCCATAGGGCACGGGCCCCCTGTGGACCCTGGCCTCCCTGCCCGGCGCCGCCCGCCTTTCCCTACCAGCCGGGCTTCTTCTGTTGAAAGGTCACTGTCATCTGTGGATGGGGGCAGGGGTGGGTTCAGGAAGGAGGGAGAAAGCTCCCCGCAGTGGGGGCGGGGCTCTGTAGCACATCCCTGAGGTCCAGCCTCCACTTCAGGAGAAAGACTGCAGGGCGGGCCCCCGGAGCTCTTCCCAGGACGCAGCAGCGGCTCGGAAGAGAGAAGTGTGTCCGGCCGCGAGCTCCTCTCGGCTCCCTCGGGCCAGGACCCTCGTTCCCAAGCAGAGCAGGCCTCAGCAGCCTCTTCTTTTTCTGCCTTGGCTGTGGCGAACCCTGGGAGACTGGGCCTGTTTTCTGCTAGGCCGTTGGCTGCATGATCTCCAGAGGGGCTCTGGAAGGGGCTTGGCTTCTTGGTGAGTTCCCCTGAGCACTCCAGGCGGCAGGGCAGCGTACCATCATCCATGTCTCCAGGCAGGCTTGGAGCTGGAGCTGGAGCCAAGTCCAATGAGGAGGATAAAGGTGCTGGGCTCAGGGGAGCGAGGTCCCAGAGGCTGTGGGCAGCTGGCTCCGTTCCTGGGCCCAGTTCACCAGCGCCCTGTTCAACGGCCCCTAAGCCAGGAGGAAAGCGTTCAGCCACACTTGAAATGACAGGCGTGGTGGCCTCAGAAGAGGACCCTTCCGACAGGGCTGGTGAGGCAGGTCGCGGCAGATTGGAGAGGAGCGGGGCCCCTGGAGAGCTGGGTGATGGGAGCTGGGGTAGTGAGGAATCCAGGCTGGGTGCCTTAGTCACTTCCAGGTACTCGTCATGTCGGGTTCTGGTTGGAGTTCCTGGAACCAGGGCTAGTGCTCGGTCCCCAGAGAAGGCAAGGGAGCCACAGGGTGCAGAACGGGGTTCAGCTGGAGAGGGCAGCTGAGGGGGAGCGGGTTGCAAGGAGGAGAAGCCGAAGGCTGAAGCAGGGAAGTCCAGACTTGGCCGGGTAGGTCCTAGGTGTGAGTCTGAGGAAGGGCTGGTATGTGCCTCAGTTTCAGGCCACATTGAGGGGTGGCCCACAGGCA